ATTCTGGCTTTTTCAATTGCTCTTGATCCTCTGATCCCAATTAAATCTAAAATAGCAAAATCCCATGGCCTGTTTACCCTAAGCTCCTGTCTCCAGAGGGTTTGTGCATGCAATAAACTATACTATGATGATTGCTATTAGGGAGATTGAGGTAAGCATAAAACTATAACCGTGTTTGCAAATGTCTCTAGAATGGTAGGCTCTGGAAATAAATTCATTCATTTCTTTATTCCATATTCACTGAATGTTTATTCGACATCAGAAATTGTTCTGGATCCTGGCAACATGGCAAGTAAACAAAACAGTAAGACCTTCGGCATCTTGAAGTTTACATACTGAAAAGGAAAGTGAGGCAGTAAATTAATCTATTCAAATATTACTCTGGTTAAAATTTGGTGAGGGACCAAGCCTTAGGAGCAAACCCATCCTCATTTCTCCACTAGGAATAGATGCTGATTGTCAAATTCATTGTTCCTTGGTCCACTAAAGATTATGAAAAAGAGTATCGGAGAAGCTAAGAGAATTGGATGTTGGTAAAAGGACTTCAAGTCCCGGGAATGGGGCCATGAGACCACCAAGTGAGCTCAGGGAATGTGCCTCAGAGAAATGTGCCCCTGGTCTGAGAGGTTAAAGGGCACCAAGAGGGAGACTGAGGAGTTTTCTGGGATGGATGTGAGTCATGCAGGGGAAGTACCACACATTGAATGTCCCTGTCTCATGCTGTGTGTGTCTGTATATGTGTGTGAGAGAGAAGGAGACAGGCACAGAGAAGAGAGAAATAGAGACAGAATGAGAGAAAGAGAAACAGAGACAGAGAGACAGAGAGCAAAGAAAGAGAGATTCAGTCCTCTGGTCAACATAATCACACTGTTCCAGAGAGATAACATGAGAGGGACAGTTGGCCGGCTCTGGGCCAAAGTAATCAGAATTTTACAACTGTTGTATATAGTGTGCGGAGGGGGCCCTCCTGCTTGGTACTTACTGGAAGATTCATTCCACACAGGATAGAAATCTCCGAGAGGGGAAGGGACAGGGGTCTAAGAAGAGCAGGGAGGAGTCCCCAGGCCTCCATCTCCCTCTCCAGGTTTCTACAGGTAGCCGTTAGATGTGTGCACAGGGGAGAAGCATCCATTTTCAGTAACATTTTCATGCTAAATGTTTTATACTAGCCTGGTAGTGTGGAACCCTCATCTGAGACTGATCAGGGCACTGAAAGGATCTGAAGATGTTTTGTCATCTAAGAGTTGGTAAAGAGCCCTGTGCTCTGCTTGAGTCTCATCCCCAGGCAGGGAGGAGGCTCCGTTGCACAGGGCAGGTCTGCAGGAATAAACACAGGGCTGCATGGCCATGTCCTTCAATCAACTCTGGCTATAGGTTTGTTACCCACATCACTTCTTCATATGGGTCCAGCTATTGAGATGAACTTTATGCTCTAAGATTTTATGTGACTTGGAAGAAATAATAGTTTTTGTCTATTTATATTGGGGGACACATCTAGCAGTGCCCAGGGACCATATGGACCATATTTGTTATTGCTAAAATATCCCCATTCTTCACCACTCACTTGGTGGTCTCATGGCCCCATTCCCGGGGCTTGAAGTCCTTTTACCAACATCCAATTCTCTTAGCTTCTCCGATGCTCTTTTTCATAATCTTTAATGGACCAAGGAACTATGAATTTGACAATCAGCATCTATTCCCAGTGGAGAAATGAGGATGGGTTTGCTCCTAAGGCTTGGTCCCTCCTGCTCCCAAAAGGCAGGATAGCTATTATGTAGATGAGATCAAATCTGGATCAACCGCATGTTAGACAAGAACCTTACCTTCTGTGCTAATCTCTAAACCCCCATTAGACTAATGTTTTTTAATTTTTTTGGGGGGGGGTTGGAGTAGTTATACCTGGCAGTGCTCAGTAGTAGCCCCTGATTGTGCTCAGGGTAACATATATATTAACAAGGATTTGAACCAAGGTCACTGCTACCACAGCAGCATGCAAGGAAAGGCAAGTTCCTTACCTCCTGTATTATCTCTGCAGCACACACCCTTTTTTTTTTTTTGGTGTGTTTTTGGTTTTGGCCACACCCAATTGTACTCGGGGGTTTACTCCTAGCTCTGCACTCAGGAATCACTACTGGGGGTACATGGAAGACCATACAGAATGCCAGTGATAGGACCTGGGTAGTCTGCATGCAAGGCAAGCAACCGACCCACTGTACTATCTCTCCACCCTGTTCCCACCCTTTGAAAATGGCACCAAAGGCCTTTATTTGTGGAAAGGACTGTGGCAGTGAGAAAGGAACTCAACAGCTGCAGCTCCTGGGGCTGGGAGGACTCCAAAGCCCAGGTAGCTGCTCCCAAAAGGCAGGATAGCTATTATGTAGATTAGCTATTATGTAGTTAGGAAAACAAAAAGAACCTTTGCAGTTGTAATTGTTAGGATGAATGATCATGATGAGAATCACAAACTTTACAACTGATGGAGCAAATGTAAAGAAGAGTCATTATTTGCTGCTCTGGGAAGCCAATTCTTACTCTTTTCCTGAAAGTTCATTGTGACAAGGGAAAAACCTTCACAAGTTTATTGTGTCCATTAATGGCTTTGCCCAACCTACCTCCAAAGGCTGATCAAACACAACTCCTCTTGTCATTCCTGCCTATATGGTCTTTGAACTCACCGGAGCACTTAGGACAGCTTGTTTTCTTGTATTAGTGTTGTTTGGGGGGTCAATTTCCTAAGTTTATTCAAACTGGTTTCATCTTTATACTTCTGAGAGGACTTTGAAGATAAATTTGCAACTAAACCTACTCCTCAATTAAAATATCCAAAAACATAACCACCATTCATTTCCAGGTCTTCTGATTCTTGCAGAGCAATGGGAAAGGGATTCAAAGCTGGCAAAAACATGACAGAGAAATTACAACTGGTAATTTGGTACAAATACCTCCCACTCAGTCATGAACGAAGTCATATGAAAGAAATTCCAGTTGTTGGATGAACAAGTCATGCCTGGAATCAGAGATCCTTCCCCGTTCTCTCATTAAGAGTCTGAGAAATCCAAGATACCACCCTATGCCTTCTCTAGTTGCACCACTTTCTCTCTCTACACAATCCAGTATGAAAATGCACAAACTGATGTTGTCACACCATTCTTCCTCATTTTATTGACACTTCATTGAGTACATGAGTCTTAGAAAACTTTTTTGGTGGTGGGTGGGGGTAACCCTCAAGGGTTGCTCCTGGTGGTGCTTGGAGGACCATGCATTCTGCCTCTTGTAAGCAAATCACTCAGCCAGCTCATGAAGCAATGTCTCCAACCTGAGGTCAACCTCAGGTCATAGGGTTTTTTGTTTGTTTGCCTTGGGGTTTTGTTTGTTTGTTTGTTTGTTTGTTTTTTGCTCTTTGGGTCACACTCGGCATTGCATAGGGATTATTCCTGGCTCACGCACTCAGGAATTACTCCTGGAGGTGCTTGGGGGACCATATGGGATGCTGGGAATAGAATCCAAGTTGGCCGCGTGCAAGGCAAACAGCTGACCTGCTGTGCTATCACTCCAGCCCCTGCCTTGAATTTTTTTTAAAAAATTATTTAATTTTATTAAATTACTACTACATACACAGTTGCAAAGCTGTTCAAGGTTGGGTTTCAGTCATAAAATGTTCTAACACCCATCCACCCATCCCTCTACCAGTGCATATTTTGACACCAATGTTCCCAGTTTCCCTCCCACCACCACACAACACTCCAGCCTGCCTCTATGAAAGGTACTCTCCTTTCCCTTTCTCCTTTGGGGCATTTTGGTTTGCAATACAGATACTGAAAGGCTATCATGTTTGTTCCTTTACCTACTTTCAGCACACAGTTTTTATCCAGAGTGATAATTTCCAGCTATCATTATAGTAGTCCCTTCTCTAGCCCAATTGTCATCTTAAAGAACAAAATTCCCCATATATATGCAAACACACTGCTCTAAGCCTAACAGAGGACTTATATTGTGAGTTGAATTGTTAAAGTAACAAAACATGTACATAATCACTATATTATTATAGCGATGTTATTATGTCCTTGCCGGGGGGGGGGGGGGCCCTTGGAGGGGGACGGGTTGAGTTTCCTCCCTGCCTCAAGCAGAACTCTGGCAGCTGAAGATCTCCAGAACCAGCCACCACCATGCTGAGACCATTTTCCATACGCATGAAGGTACTGGCAGAGGAACAAAGGCATTCGGGTCCCAAGGCTGAGATCTCCAAGCCTGCTCTGATCAGGGCTGAGCATCCTCCACCCAGATCCTCCATCTTCCAGTAGGCAGGAGTCACACCCACCAACTGACCCCCTGGCGCCGTGTAATCCCTTCAACAGCCAAGACCCAGATACTACAAAACCCAGTTCCTGGAAGCGTCTCCTGTCCCCGCGCCTGGCTGTCCTCAACATCTTATTATCTCATTCTTACTTTTGGACAACCTGGCAGGCTACCGAATGTAACCTGCCAACATAGCAGAGTCTGGCAAACTCCCCGGGGTGTACCCAATATGCCAAATACCAGTAACAGTAATGGGTCTCATTCTCCTAGCCCTGAAAGAGCCTTGAATATGGCACTTTAAAATCTCAGGGCTAGAATGAAGGAGATGTTACTGATGCCTTCTCGAGGCAATCGACGAACAACAGGATGATCGTGATCGTGAATCACTATATTTTCAATAGGTTCTTGGAAACTGTGACTTCAAAGGGAAAAGTTTATACTGAAACTTGGGTCAGGCCCATTTGTTCAGCTCCTTCAAGGATTATTTTTTCCTCATCAATAGTTTGCTAACAAACTACAAATTGAATAATACTATTCATAAATCTGCTCTTTCCCCCAAATTCCACAGCAATTGCTTTCAAATGTTTGAACGTTCAACACCTACTCATTACATGGAGAATGCATTTCCCTTATTTCAAAGACAAAGCCAGGGAGCCTAGCAAAATGTATTCAGACTATAGTACAAAACAGTGAATTCTTCTTACCTTGCATTGTAGTTTTTGTTGGTTCTGAGAACAGAGGAATGAGCAAGAGGTAGATGAGGTAGACAAAGGAGAGTCCATTGTATCGGAATGCACATGCTGCATGGGGGAAGGGAGAAGAGAGAGAACCTGTTAACCAGGATGAACAAACAGGATCAGGGCCAGAGCACTGTGTGGGAAAGGGAATCAGGCATGACTGGATCAAATGTCACTGCCTAATAGATATGTCAAATAAAATTTGAGCATGGATGAAAAGTGCAGACAAAATAGATCATTCCTACTCCTATAACCTAAAAGAAAGCAATACTGATTCACAAAAATAAAGGCATATTACAATCTATTTATAATTATGCTGAGCAGATTAGATAAATACAGAGGACAACAAATTGGTGAGAGTTTGAGATAAAGCGTACTGTCACTGGAAGCAATAAGATTTAAGAGAAAGAAATATTTTAAAAATATTCATTAAATCTTTCTGAAATGGATTTATACAAATTCTCACTTTAGGGCTGGGGTATAGTTCAGTGGAAGAGCACTTTCTTTGCATGTATGAAGCCCTAGGTTCACTCTCAGAATGACCAGTACAATCCCATCTACCACATACATACATATAAACTATATTTTATTCCACATTTTACTTTATTTTTAGTTATTCTTCATATTAATTTAGGTCACATGTTTATAACTCTGTTAACATTTGTGGTTTTGATATATAGTTACCTCATCTCACTACCATCAAAATGTCCAAGACACTCCACCTGTTTTTTTTCTTTTTGGGTCACACCTGTCGATGCACAGGGATTACTCCTGGGTCTGCACTCAGGAATTACTCCTGGCAGTGCTTGGGGAACCATATGGGATGCTGGGGATCAGACCCGGATCGGCCACGTGCAAGGCTCTACCCACTGTGCTATTGCTCCAGCCACCCCACTGATGTTATTATGTCACTTTTAGTCCACCACATCACTCCCTCCACCATGGCCCCCAATATATTTAATATTGAAGAGACCAAGCAACACTTCATCCTAAAGTCCAGCCTGGTTGGATGAAAATTGCCAATAGTGGCTCTTGAATTCCTTGAGCAAGGCTTGAAAAGAGGAAAGAAAAAGAGGAGAGGAGAGGTGGGGAGAGAAAGGCAGACATGGAAAGGGACAAGGGTAAGGCAAGGGTGAGAAGAGGCAAGGAGGGAAGAGGTGAGAGACAAGAGGGAAGAGAAGGGAGGGGAGTAGACAGAAGTGGAGGGAGAGGGGAGGGAAGCGTGATTCCCTGACCCTCTGCACTGCATCTTATTCCCCAAGCACTACCTAGTGGGATCCCTGAGCAGAGAGCCAGAAGTAAGCCCCGAGCACTTCCGAGTTTAGTCTAACCCATTAACCATCCCAAGCCCCCAACCCCTCCCCAGAAAGACAAGAAGTAAATATGAGATTACTAACCCCACCCCCTCCCAAAGCTAGATCAGGAGTAGGTAACATGAGTTTATTGGATGCAAAAATCAGTCTATGAGCTGTCAAAGAATGAAAAAATATCGGATTGATAGAAAAATATAAGGCAGGGGAACATGAATTTGCTGTTAAATTCAAATTAGTCACTGAAAATTTTGATTGGAAGAAAACATTTCAGAAGAATTAATCTGGTGACTGATAAAAATTGGATTGGAGGGAATGAAGTTTAGCCATGGTGAATGGGATATGACTGAAGATTCTCGGGTGGTATGGTGGACAAGATAGCTTAAAACTATAGCAGTAGATAGAATAAAAATAGATTTTGTAACATAGAGATACAAAGATAAATTTCTTAAAGGTGGTACCAAGACCTGTAACCGAGGGAATGATAAATACTGCTTTCATGAAGCGGGGAAAAGGGGGTATTTAAGAAGGAATTACAGGTTTGCCATTGGATGCAATCACAGAATGAAATTGTGGGACTTGGATCTGATTGTAAATGTGACTGCATCACTATTCGTGATTCTAGTGGGAAATGAATATGAAAAGAGGTGTCAGGAAACAAATAAAAACACTACAAGGCTTAGAGTGGAGTGAGAAGAGCAAAGAATGGTGCTGCACCTGCCTCAACAACTGCCCAGTGTAGGCTAAGAGGGCAGGGGAAGTTGGTGGGTTGGAAAGGAAAACCACAGCAGGAAACTGAAGACATGCAGAAACAAAACCAAGGAACAAATCCAATTTTAACCAGAGAAAAAGTTTTCATAAAGGAAATTCACTTTGACAGACATACAGATTTGTCAGCTGATCATCAGTGGGGATGTTGTTGAACGCTTCTGAAGAAAAGATCCAGCCTGGAGACAGGATGGTCATGAGCCACCCTCCTGATCATGAGAGAGCAAGGAGGGGCATTCAGCCATCAGAAGCCTTCAAAAAGACCGACATGCTCCAGACATAGGGTCTGGGATGACAGAGAACGAGGGAGCACACTGGACTAAGACCTGTTCAAGGGCTGCCTGTTCTGAGATGGAATTTGAACAAGGGACTGAGCTTCCATAGCTGGCTCCATAAAACAGTAATGCAAATGCCAAGTGCACAAATCCAGGGATGGCATGGAAGGAAGCATGGACAAAAATCTATTTTCAACCCAAAGGGGTTATGCATATATTTATAGTTTTAATCTCACCATGTGCATTCCCGACTTTCTGGAACAAACCAGTGCAGGAGAAAAAAAAAGTCCACGCTCCTGGCAGGACTGGTAGGAAAATAAATAAATGAAGCATTTTGCAAGGATATATGTTTGAATATTCTTTTTAACTTTTTCTCTTCTGTTGTTTATTATTTCTCATCCTTGCAATACAACCCAAAGTCTTGTGGTTGGTCGTTCATTCAACACAGGTTGACTGAGCCTAGGCTGTGTGCAGCTGCTGTCCCAGAAGCTGGGGTCCGCCAGCAAGCCCATCTCCAGCGCTCTCCTCTCCTGTTCCTGGGAGCTGACAATCTGCAAGGAAGATGTATGCTGAATAATGAACCCAACCAATGTGAAAGTGTACACTAGAAAGTAGATGTTCCCTAAATAAAAAATTGGCAAGAAAAGGGAGGCAGGGGCGGCAGGGGAAGTTCTGGCCAGTTGTAGTATCTACCCAGTGCACTGATGGTTAGGCTTCAATCAAAAGTGAGGTTTGAGTCAATGGTGAAATAGTCGCAAGGGCTGCATGCCAAGCAGGCCAAGTGTGCCAGGTGGTGCAAGTGGCTCAGGCCCAGGTCAGGACAGAGAAGCAGGCCTGGACTGTCTGTCCTGCCCAGGACAGTCTCTTGGGGAGCTCAGGGTAGTAGTAGACTCCTGGATGAGGGAGGATCACATGGGCCCTTCAGGGGAGCAGGAGAAAGAGGCATCAATTAAATGATAATGTTCCCCCTGATTCTTGGTCCCCAGTGAACTTCCTGTTGAGGCTTGAAGTCTTTCCCGGAAATAGGCACCCCACATCCTATGTTGCTGCCCAACCAAGGACTAGGATCCTCCCTCTGTTCCTCTGCTTCCTCCCTTTTTATGGGTCAGTCATCTGCCCAATATTGTTCCCCTTGGATGAGTGTATATCTCCCTCCTGCCTTCAAGGCTCTTGAGTTCATTCTTTGTGGATTGTCAGCGACCACAGGTGTCTGAGCACCTCTCTCACTGTCACTCAGCACATGTGTGCATTTGCTTATCTTTTTTGTTGTTGTTGTCGTCATTGTTTGGGTTTTAGGCCACAACCAGTGGTGCTCAGAGCTTACTTCTAGCTCTGTGCTCAGGATCACTCCTGGTAGTGCTCAAGGGACCGTATGGGGTGCCAGGGATCCAAGCTGGCCTCCACTGGGCTGTGTGTAAGAACAGCAGTACTACCTCTCTCCCTCTCTCGATTTGTCTGTTTCGTCTCTCAACTAACAGTTGTAATGTCTCCCTGGCCCCAGGGAGTTGGTTTTTGCTTTTAATATGTATTGTGCAACAAAATTACACACTTCTGTAGATTTCTGAGTAACAGGATAAACAACATTTTTTTTGCGATTGTGTCATTTTGAAGAGCATTTTCAGGGCACTTCTCTGTTGCTTACTGAAAGGAATTATCCCTGAGGTAATGTGTACCTTCACTGTGTGCAAAGCCCAGAACTAGGCACTCCATGTATATAATATCACTGTCACTGTCACTGTCACTGTCCTCCCATTGTTCATCAATTTGCTCAGGAGGGCCCAGTAACGTCTCCATTGTGTCAATTGTTACTGTGTTTGGCATATCGAATACATCACAGGTAGCTTGCCAGGCTTTGCCGTGCGGGCGAGATACTCTCAGTAGCTTGCCAAGCTCTCTGAGAGGGGTGGAGGAATCGAACTTGGGTCGGCCATGTTGGCTGCTTGCAAGGCAAATGCCCTACCCGCTGTGCTATCGCTCCAGCCCATACATAATAACAATGCATTCAAACACGTGTGTTCCATCTCTGCATGTATATGTATAATATGTTCATTCTATTACTATCCTCCTTTTATAGATATGAACATTACTCTCTTCTGTCCAAGAAAAGGCAGCAGGTTCATATTATCATAATATCTTTATAATGCAAAAGTTATAACATAGGGCCTAGGTGGAGTATAGCAGATAGTTACTTGCCTTGCTCTTGGCCAATCTGAGTTCAATCCCCAGCAGCCCATATAGTCCTCCCAGGCACCACCAGGAGTGATCTCTGAGTATACAACAGGAGTAAGTCCTGAGCACTGCTGAGTGTGGCCAAAAAAAAAAAAAACCTTAAAAAAATTTTTTTAACATAACCCCTCTATACATACCACCCTCAACTGCACTCTGACCAAAAAAAAAAAATTTACTCCACTCAAAGATGGAGAGGTAAAACACTGATGATTAGCCCATAAAGTGGTATGCTACTAAAATTCTGCCCAATTAGGGTGATCATAATTTGATTATTTCTAACTCACAAAGCAGATTTCACTGGACTTTTTGGAGAAAAACTTAGAATGCAGAACATATGGGACTTATTGAAACTTCCAGAGTCAGAAAGCAGACACTCTGAGTTGTTGACAGTTTGTGAATGACACTGGGTAGAGAGGAAGGAAGTCCTGGGATACATAGAAACGGTAGAAATAGTGACCTAACTAAATCCAGTCACAATGTG